GTACTCAAAACTTTTGAGATACTATTACTATTACCATTATTATTATTTATTTTATTAGATTTCTATTTCTTCCCGTTTTCTTTTACTCTGGGCTTCAATTATCTAAAATTAGTTTACCCTATTTGTGGCATCACAATGACCTTGAAGTAGAGTGCCTGTCTCAGATAAATGCATGAAAGAATGAGTCATTGAATGAATTTGGGAGACCACACGGCATGGTGGAAAGTGAATAAACTTTGGAGCCAGAAAGATTTGGGCATATGTTAGCAGCTAGGCGGCCTTGTGCAAATGACTTAACCTCTGTTTCTTCATTTATAAAATGGAAGTGATACTCACCTTGTGGGAATGCTGTGATAGCATTGGTGTCTCTGCATCCTCTCAAACACAACTGAGAAACTCTGGGAAAGTACTTTGCACATGGAAGTGGGATAATGGCTTAATGGCACAAACATGTGCTTCAGTGAAATTGATAGTAAGAAGAGAAACAAAGGAAGAGGCAGAAGGAATAATGCTTTTCATTTTCGGGTGCTAAGTTTTTGCTAGGTAATATTCTAAAATATTAACAGTCATGCTCCTTGCATTTTGACAGAAAGAGGCTATAGATAGCATTTGCCTCAAACACTAGATTAACTTGATATAGTGCACATCAGTTTTGCCTTTTTCTGTTTTTTAAGAGACTATTTACTTCTGAACAGTCTGATAAAATTCAGATTCAGATTCCATGAAATAGAAGTTATAATCATTATGTATTTCTTCCAGACTTTCTACCCTAAGGCAGAGATGACCAAAATCAGGTTATAATACACTGATAAAATGATATTTGTTTAGCAGTTTAGTTTACAAAATGCTTTGACACCCGTTATCTGTTTAGGTTTTACAACCACCCTGTAAGTCAGGTTATTGACTCCGCTGTGCTGATGTGAATGCTGAGATTCAGAGAGCTTAAGTGATTTGCGTAAAATTATTCACAGTTTACAAATGACAAAAATAGGATCCTTCCCCATGTTTTCTAATAAGAATTCCAGGACGGTATTCTCCACAGACTGGTTTCAGGGGATTCATTCATTCTTCAGCAAATATAACTGAGAAACTGCCATTACTTTTAAGCTTCTTGACTGTGACTATTTACATTATAAGTCAGTTCACACACACATAAATATGCAAATACACACATATTCATAAAATGCAACAGTTATCCTTTTCACAGGCAGTGTAATGCTAGTGTTTTCCATTCTAACCTATTTTATTACATTATTAAACAATGACGACTATGACCTCCTAAGCTGATATCACAACCCGTCAATAGATCACGTTCTCCAATTTTAAAAAAATACTGTAAAAAGGTAAAGAGAAAATTAAAAACTTTGAAGAGATAGTCAAATAGAAAACTAAAGACAACTACAAAAGTAAAAAAAAAATGTGAGGTATCCTCAAATAAAACACTTTTCAGTTTGTAATTAATTTAATGCACAGCTGTCTTTCATTTATTTTCCTAAATATATGGTCCATCTAACAACAATAATGATAACAATGCCGGGTAGAAATGATAATGGCCATACAAGAGATAAAGAAAAAGTATCAACAGAGTTAGTTACTTTAACCTGACATAAAATTAAAAGGAAGCTACTTTTAACATCCTAATTATTATAAAGAGGGCTTATCAATTTTGTTGAAGAATGAGTATGATTACAAGACAGTAGTGTCTCTATGTTTGTCTCTTATTTGGGCATCTTCGTAATAGCAGCTATCATTCATTCATTCAACAAATCATTATTTATTGGGCACTGGCTATGTTCTAGGCACTATCCTAGGTGTAGGGAAGGAAATAGGTGAAAATCTCTGCCCTTTGGGGATTTACATTCTATTGATGTGAGGCAGAAAAACAAAATAAAGAAGTAAATTATGTCATAGCTGGTAGGCGTTAGGTACTAAGGTGAAAAATAAAGCAGAGTAAGGAGATAGGGAACACCATGGGAGGGAGTGGTAATATTAAACTGGGTGATCAGGGAAAACTTCACTGAGAGGATGACATTTGAGCCAAGGTTGAAAGGAGATGAGAGAGCCAGTCCCATGAATATCTGAGGAAAGAGCATTCCAGGAAGAGATCACAGCAAGTGCAAATGCCCCAAGTTAGAAGCAACACCAAGGACGCCAGTGTATGGGAATGAATGAGAGAAAAGTAGTAGAAAGTGAAGACAGAAGATGATGTAGATTTGATCACATAGGACCTTGAAGGCAGTTGTAAGGACTTTGACTTTTCCTCTTAGGATACCACTGAGAGGTTTTGGGCAGAGAACATAGAAGATTGTGTCAAAACTGATCTAGCAGCCCAGTAGAGAATAAACTGTAATGAGGTCAGCAGAGAAACCAAATAGGGGGCTATTTCGATCATTCAGATGACAGATGAAGGTGGTAGAGTGGAGGCAGTAAGGTTTGACCAGATTCAGAGCCAAGAGGAGGTCCTGACACACTGGAAGTGAAGAGTGAGGGAAAAAGAAGAGTGAAGGATGACTCCAAGGTTTGGCTAGAGTAACTGAAAGGATGCAGGTGGCACTCACTGAGACGGAGAAGCCTGGGGATGGAGTAGATTTAAGAGCAGGAGTTTGGTATTTGACACGTTATATCTGAGCTGTGCAATAGTAACCCAAGCAGAAGTGTTGAGTGGATAGTTGGATGCATGAGTGTAGAATTCCGAGGAGTGACCCAGGATGGAAAGATAAATTTGAGGTCAGTGGGTGATCGGTGCTATTTAAAGCCATGAGACTGGATGAACTCCCCACAAAAGTGTGTAAATAAAGGAGAGAAAATGTCCAAGGACCAAACCTCAGGACACTGCCATTTTAAAAGGTCAAGTACAAAGAAGATGGAGAGGCTGGGTGTGTTGGCTCACACCTGTAATCCCAGCACTCTGGGAGTCTCAGGTAGGTAGATTGCTTGAACTCAGGAGTTCAAGACCAGCCTGGGCAAGATGGTAAAACCCTGTCTCTACCAAAAATACAAAAAAATAGCCAGGCATGGTGGCGTGCGCCTGTAGTCCCAGCTACTTGGGAGCCTGAGGTGGAAGAATCACTTGAGCCAGGGAGGCCAATGTTGCAGTTAGCAGAGATCGCACTGCTATACTCTAGCCTGGGTGACAGATCAAGACCCATCTCAAAAAAAAAGATGGAGAAGGAATGGCCAGTGAGGGAGGAGAAAACCGATAGAGTTGTTGTCCTAAGAGCAAAGTGAAGAGTAAGTAGCAAGGAAGATGGAGTGATTCACTATCATAAATATGGTTGATAGGTCAAATACAGTGAGGACTCAGAATTGCCATTTACATTCCAGGAAGCTCAACATATAATCTCTTGAATCAGACACACTAGGTTAAATACTGGTTCTGTCGCTGACTGTGTGGCCTAAGAGAGACCCTTAAGCTCTCTAAATACTGGGAAAGGGTGAGACTGAAAATCCTTCTGATCTTTAGCCTCAATGAAGAGGAAAAAAAATCGTTTGAGAACCATTCTAATGACTGACCTGCTAAAGCAATATTAATGCTTCCTAGGTCTCTATAGGGATTCACATAATTCGATTTTAACACAAACTTTGACAAAAGTTTAGAAAGATGTATGCTCTTAATTTTCCTTGCCAACTCATATTGGTGAAAATTGAGGTGTTGAAAATTACTGTATCTACTCCAGCCTGGGTGACAGAGTGAGACCTCCATCTCAAAAAAATAAGACAGAAATTACTAATTACTGTGTGTGTATATATATATATACACACACACACACACAGAGTAAATTTCTGTCTTTTCTGTCTTGAATTTCTACTTGTGTATACACACACACACACACACACACACACATTCCTATATAGAAATTCAAAAAAACTCACAGATAGATAGATGGATAGATAGATAGATAGATAGATAGATAGATAGATAGATAGATAGATAGATAGACAGACAGACAGATAGAGTGTGACAATAGTAGAAATGCATTTCTCCCTCATCTGGTTATCCTATCAAAGAATATGAGCAAATATTGAGGCAATTAGAGTTGAATCTCTTCCTCCCAGAAACATCTTTTCTACCTGAAACAATCAGTGAAGACTGGCTAAAAAGAGATTCCAGTCTTTATTTAGACTATTCTTTACGGGGTTTCCATCTCCCATCTCATTTCAGTCCCCATCCCATTGTATGGTCAATTATTAGTTATATCTGACAATTTTTTTTTTATTTTCCAGTTTTGCTTCCACACCGAACTGACTGCTAACCTGTCCCACATTTCCTGTGAAAGGTGTATATGTGTAGTTAGTACACACACACACACACATACACACACACACTCGAAACAGGACTATGTGAATATTTCTTGCTCACCTGGTAATGAAAAATTCTATGGATGGACATGTAATACACAGACAAACAGTTTAGTGGTTAAGAATGCAGAATTGAGACAAACTGGCCAAATTTGAATGGTGCCTACACTACTTACGAGATGTGTGACACTGGCAAGTTTTTTCACATCTCTGTGTCACAATCTCTTCAACTAAAAACCAAGGATAATGACAATAAAAATCTCATAGGTTTGTTGTGAGGCTTAAGTAAGTTAATATATAGCAAGGGCTCAAAATAGATACTAGCACAAAAAATCAGCATTCAGTTTGCGTTAACTTTCATAATGGTGATGAAGATGATGATAATTAAGATGGAGATAATGATAACAGTGATTATGCTGCTGGTGATGATAAAGATGGAAAATCAGATCTCTACCACCAGCTGGCTGGGTTACCTGGGAGTACATCTTTTAACCTCTTGGTGTCTGTTTCATCATCTACAAAATAAGCAAGTTATGTTCGAAAAATCTAAAAGAATGTGTTTTAAGTAGCTAACTTCAAATGCTTTTATTAGGAATTTTCTAAGTTAAGAAAGTGGATCAATGGAGAAATGAGGTGGTTTAAAAAAAAAAAAAAAACTCTGCTACCTAAAATATCTCTAACTTTTGTTTTGTTTTTTACAGCTTCCAGCAAGAAATGCATCCCTGATCCTATAGCTATTGCATCTCTCTCCTTTTTGGCCAGTGTCATCATCTTTTCCAAAAGCCGAGTATAAAGGAATCTTGTGACTCCTTTTATTTAAAAAAATTTTTAAATAAAATCTTTTTTATTGGTCTTTTGGCTAGAAATGGAAATTTGTTTTCCAGGAAGGATGATCCCATCATACTTCTACTGAAACCAGTACATGGCCTCCTCTTTGTTAATTCTCTTATGCCTTTCCTTGCACCCCTTTGCCTTATTTCAATCTGAGCACCGTAAGTACTCTTGGGGAAATCACTCTGCCCCTCTAGCAACTGATGCAAAGCTGGCTCAGCCCACGGACTGTGATTGGCCTGTAACTCAGGCCTTAGCCAATCAATATATTTCTTCTTCATCGACACAAAGATTCATGCTGGAATAGAAAATGATCCAATCAGAGCCTGTGAGATACAATCAGGGTACTTTTTTGGAAATGCAATTGGAAATAGAATGGGAGCTTCTTTTCTGAATGGATATTAATGAAAGCAGGGTAGGAGCTTATAGCTGCCAGTAGAGATCCTGCCACCAGGAGAGGAGACTGAACCTCCTTGAGAAAGGACCTAACACAACAAAGGAAGAGCTGATAAATGAAAAGAAACTGAGACCTGATGAGAGTGTATAAGCCTCTGGATCCAACTTTGCCTAAACCTGAATAGTCCAAGATTTTTCATTATATAAATCAATAACTTATGGTTTTGCCTGCATAATTTGAATTAGATTTTCTATGTCAAGCATCAAGCAGTTGAAGAAGTTCCAATGAATACAAGGACTCTTCCTTTTTTTTTTAATTTAGTTATTCCAAATAGGAACAAATCAAAGAAGATCAAGTTAGAAAGCAAAGGACAAATTTTTCACCAAACGGAAAAGCTCTGAACCCCAGAGATTAATCAAGGTGTGAATTTTCTTCAGATATTTTTATGAGCATTCAAGATCAAGCTAGTATGGTCTCAGATGAGAAGACACATGGAAACTTGAGAAATAAAAGGGAAAGTTAATGAAAGATGTTAGTGAAATCTCATTCACCAGCACTAATGGGTGTTCATGGATGTTCCTAAGACATTACAAAAGTTAAAATTTAAACTCATACGTTAATTTATAGAGAACTTGATGGCAAATTTAAGTCTTCATAGCAAATTTAAATATTAGGAAAACATAAGGGTATGTGTGAAGGTTAACAGAGATTATGAGAGGAAAAAAACACTGATTACAAACAAATATCAGCGATATAGTGAGGTCTCATTACATGTAAACTAGCAGATGCAGAGAAGTATAAATTGTTGAATTGCATAGCTGGAAATGTTCTCTAATGCTTCCCTCAGGTAGTAATTTAGGTAGAGACATAAGGGATTGTTTAACCTGATCATGATCACTAAAGACCCTGGGATCAGGCTAAATGGAGTAAAGATGTGGGCTAACTCTGTAATTTTGGATTTTGAAAGTCCATGCTTCTTATCCCTTCTGAGATTTGGATAAGAAGCAGCAAAACTGAAAATCGATCCATCTATTTACTCTCCATGGGACTTCCTGAATGGCCTGTGTCATGATCAAAGAAACAGAATGGGGAATAAGCTACATAAAATTACCCAGCATGGAGCTCAGGCATCTCTGTACTATCCTTCTTTACATTGGGATTTGAAACTAACAGGGCCAAATCACCTCTGTCACCTAGTTGCAGTAGCCTCTACGGTCAATAAAAGGAAATAATTTCTGCCAGGTATGGTGGTTCACCCCTGTAATCCCAGCAGTTTGGGAGGCCGAGGAGGATGGATCACGAGGTCAGGAGTTCAAGACCAGCCTAGCCAGCATGGCGAAACCCCGTCTCTACTAAAAATACAAAAATTAGCCAGGCATGGTAGTGTGCGCCTGCAATCCCAGCTACTTGGGAGGCTGGGGCAGGAAAATTGCCTGAACCCAGGAGGTGGAGGTAGTGCAGTGAGCCAAGTTCACACCACTACACTCCAGCCTGGGCAACAGAGTGAGACACGATCTCAAAAAAAGAAAAAAAGAAAGAATTTCTACAAACAGACAATTTATGTGACTTGCATAGGGTCTTTGGCAGTTTGGTGGCTACCTAGTAGACAGTCCTGGGGGCATGGCTTTGGGAGCAAGCTTTTCCAGTGAGCATTGATGAGTCAGTAATGACATGCTATGTTGGGAAAAGCCAACCAACATCTTAAGTACATTTTCCCTGTGCCATAGAAATGCATGTATTGAGCCATACTATGTACAAAGCACTTTGGGGATTAAAAGTTGAGAACACTAGGCCAGATCTCTCATGAGTTTACAATCTCTTGGGAGAAATTAAGAACATAAGCAAGCCACAAGTGAAAGGCCAAAAAAAAAAGGCGAAAATCAAGTTTTCTGTTCAAAACAATTCAAAAGAAAGATTTCTTCCAACCTAGGCAAGAAGAGACAGCTGGAAGGCTTTAAGTAAGAGGCTGCATTTGAACCAGCCCTTAGGGCTCTAGCCTGGGAGAAGGGGTGAGCGGAAGGAGAAAAAAACAAGAAAGAGTATGTGCCAAGTGTGTAGTGCCCAAAACAAGGCCAAATATTAAATGCTTGGAGCTGAGACAAAAATGTGATTCCTCTGGCCTATGGTTAGATAAAACTTTCTATCAGAGATGAGGTTTTATTTAGAGGAAAGTAGAAAATAGAAGCAGATACAGAATGATCGATGTATGTACAGCATAAGGTCAGGGAGCAGACAGGTCTGGCAGAGAGTGAGGGGTAATGTGGGCTGGACAGGCAATTGGAAGCCACTCAGTGAAGCTAAAAAGTCAGCCAAAAGCATTTGATTTCCATGAGAAGCCATAATTTTCTGAGTAAGACAATTCTCCTAAAGCGTTGACTCTCCAGGCACAAGCAGCAACAGCATCCTTTAAGAACTCGTTAGAAATGTGAATTTTAGAGCCCGATCCCAGACTACAGAATCAGAAATTGAACAGTCTGTTTTAATAAGTCTTCTAGATGATTCTGCTATACACCAACATTTGAGAACACTGTGACTTACATGATTATGATCCTTAGAGGAATAGCCAAGTTTCTAAAAAAGATAACTTAGTTCTAACTCCTGCTGCTGTTTTACAGATCAAATCTCTGGAGACAGAAACTATTCTCTTAAAATTATGCAGATTCATGAGTTTGGTTAAGGATAAATGTACATGGTTCACATCCCCTCAGTCTCTCCCTATAGTCAAAGTTTTTGAGCAAGGAGTCTATAGAGTATTGATTTAAATTGATTCAAAGTCTAAGTTACATGTTTATGAAACTCTAAGAGACTAGCTTTAGAAATTCCACTGTAATTTCGGCTGGGATAAATTTGTTAGGCTGGGATATCTTTCAAAGATAAAGTGGATGCTCAAATATGTGTAAATTCATGCAATTGTTAACAGAGACTGTGCTATAAGGAATACTTACATCCTATAGTAATTTTATTAAAGAAATACATGCATCTCTCCTTTTGATGTGTACAGAAATATACTGTTTAACCTGAGGAAGCTGATTGAAACAGGAAAAATTAAAAAAGTAAAAACACTCAACCCATGTAATACTTTATTTTTATAACAAAGTGTTCTCTTTAATATGCTTATTAGATTATCCTGAAGTCCTCTATTTACTCTTTTTAAAAAAATCCAATGAAAGAAAATTTCAGTAGAGTTTGTTTTGCTGGAAGAATCAGGATTCTTGTACTGAGTTGTCTAATGATATTAATCAAATTGATTTACACTGAATGAACTAGCTCTTGATTTGGTAAAATTCAACAAGCATTTATTGAATTAGGTGCTTTCAGAAATACCAAGATGCAGCAAACATTGGCAACTGATAAAGAAAAAAAATACAAGTAGAATAGGATTTCCTTTTTTATAATAGTAAATGATCATGTGTTGTGTTCTGTTGTGTGGCAGTTCACTTTTTCCTCCCTACTTATGCTTCATTCAAACAGCTAGGCCATGCCATGTTCACAGCCTAGAGGAGGAATGAGACCAGGCATAGCATAGAAACACCTGAGTCCACCCCACTTTGTTCTTCAAAAATCGAAGGATATTAGAGAAAATGAGAGGAACCCACAACCAAAGTATTTGAGAGACATTAAATGTAATAGGTTTGAGAAAAAATACAGCCTTTCCTCAGTATTTCCATAAGCCAAGAGGCAGCAGCAGACATGATGTCATTAGAGGGTCAGACTGGTGGTACCCAGTAGTGGGAAAATGTGAAACACTGTAAGTGATCACCAGCCTAACAACAGCCACCAGCACTTGAAGACCACTCATCTTTATTGAAGTGGGCACTTCCCATCTCTAACACCCTGATTGTCATTCCCACTGGCATCTGGCAAGGACTTCCTGTGAACTGCCACCAGCCATTCTTCCAGTCACTTCACAGAAAGACTCTGCACCAAGACTTTTCTTGGTCTTTGTCTCATTCACTTCCATATGAATCCCCCTAGCTGTTGCATGCAACATTCTGAAACATAATTCTAAGACTAAAAGGAGATTGAAACCCTAGACACATATAGGTCTAGAAAAAGTAGCAAAATGAGAGTCCTGTCTCCCTTCTCCTCTCTCTCACCCTCTGTGTGTGTGTGTGTGTGTGTGTGTGTTTATATGTATGTGTGTGGGGGTGTGTGTGTGGGTGTGTGTATATTTCTTCAGAGGTGATGGCAGCAAATGAATCAATTTAACATCCTCTTGAAAATAATAGAGTTCTTAATAGAAACCTATTACAAATAAGCAAGATTTCAGCTTTGCTGTGGAGAGAAAATGAGAGTTAATGTATTGAAACTCATCCTTTTTTCCAGGACCTCCAAGCTCTGGTAATGGTCAAAATCCACTTGACCCTCCCTACCAAACATTCTGAAATTCTTACCATTTGTCTGAGGATGGAGAAGGGTTTCCTGATTTTAAATGACAGTAGTAATTACAATGATGACTTTGGCTTGGAGTTATCATTGCTTTTCCTATTCTCAACAGAGTTTCTATCAGGTATCATGTGAAATAGTTAACTTCAAGGCCAGTCTTAGGAGTACACACTCATTTACAATGCATGAGAACCAAAGACTTATGGTAGACAAAGATATTGTCCTATCTCATCTCTTTAAATACAAACACATCTCAGATATCCTACTTCTGCAAGTGTTTTCTCTGTGAAAATCTTTTCTTTGTGAAAGGCTAGAGCACCTCCATTTTTCCACCTCTAATCTCCTAATCATAAGACCTCGGAAGGAGACAAATGAGAATGAACGATCTGCTCTAGTCTTACTCACATAAGCAAGAAAAGTCTACTATTGCTCATTCACTGTTCTTATTTACTTATGAATGAATCGTATCTAAAATATTTAGTGATGGCTTCTGATCGTCAAGGTACTGAAGTATATAGAAATTGGTATATGAGTGACAAAAATTGAGTTTATTTTGTTTCCCAGGCCTAGATTGTCTATCTAATGACAACATTTACAGTTTACCTGGACTTCTCACTGGAAATGGAATAGTTGAGTGGGAACTACTTTAGGGTTGTTTTAATTATGCTTTAAGATGAAACATAATATTTAGAAACATCCTCAAATGTAATACCACTTTGTTTTTCTCAACAATATATTCTTCTTAGTGACTGACATTTCAAACAGGCTTTCTGAATTATTTATTTTCATTTTAATAAAGCAAAACTACAGGTAAATGTTTTGCCAGATGACTTTTGTGTACTTATGTTCTAACATACCATGTTTGGCACCAAAAGATCTTAGAAACCACTATGAAAAACCGTAAGATTTGAATTAGTTTCCTGACAGAAATGAACAGTTCTGTTGTATCCCTACTTGTCACTGGCTTTCTTAAACACAGAAATATTCATTTCCATAGTCTTTATGGCTTTTTGGAGAATCTCTAAGATTGGTCCCATAGCCTTGACAATTTGTTCCAACAAATCTGCTGCTGACTCTATGGGATTTTTGGAATCCTCAGTTTTTAGTGCATCCTGCAGTTTTTTCAAGGTGTCTATCATAGTGGCTTTGGAAGAATCTGGACTCCTGGTTCTCTCCGATGTGGTGACATCTGATTGCTCTTTGGTGTCTTCTGTATAGAAGTCACTTAATTGAAGATTCATGATGGGGAATTTCATCAAGTGTGAAAGAGAAGATTCCAAACTCCCAAGGATGTTACTGCTGTTTAGCGCAGAGATGATGACTGGTGTATGGGCACTTTTGAACACTTCTTTAGCTGACTGATGCAACTCCTCTACATTGGTACCCTTCTGAAACACAGAGTACATGGCCATTGCAACCTTGGAACCTAAAGACTCCTTTTGAATTTTGTCATGTTTTGCATCCACTACAGATTGCATCTCCTTAAAAATTTTGAGCATTTGCTCAAAAAAATCCTTAATGTTACTATTGTTTTTCACAGCCATCAAAAGGATTTGAGTATTCATACTGCGGTTAAACAACTCAGTCAGTGTGTTTGTGACAGAAGCAAAATCTTGTACATGAAAGAAGAACATTTTGGCAGCTTGAATCAGTCTCTCTTTATCCTTTTCTGACTCTGAAGACATCTCTTCAACAAAGAAGTTTCAGCACTGCAAAGCAAAGCAGTAATCCCAATGAAAACTAAAAGTCGATTTGGCAACCATAAAAAACTGAAAGTATAGTCTAAACATGAGGATAACTCCTGCCAAGGGCAGGAAAGCTATACAAACATTAAAACAAAAATGATACTTTGCTTCAATTAAAAAAATCACAAAAATAATTAAAACAGAGTAGAACAGGGTTTTATCACTGAATTTATACCACATATCAAATACTGTATGCTGGATCCCAAATATATGGATAGATTCACATACTGAATTACACTACACTCAAGGATATTACCCTTGACAACTATTCAGTGTAGTGGAAAATATTGGATAAATCTTTACAAATTACATAGAGGGTCTCTGGTTCCAGTTAAGGTAGACTAAGCACACTCCATCCAATCTTTCCTACTGATTACAACTAAAAATCTGAACTGAATATATAAAATCCCTATCAGATAATGCTGAAAGCTAGATGACAAAAGACCAAGGAAGTAGGGAGTACGGCATTGAAAGGACAACAAAGCAATGAAGCTCTCTGACTTTTTGTTTGAGGGTGCGTGTTTTGTTGTCGTTGTTGTTGTTTGTCTTTTCCTCCTTCCTATATATCCCACCTTGGGCTCTAGGACCGCCTGGAATTAGAACTGTGAACATGCCCAAACAGGGAGAGCTCCAAAAAAAACCTACTCTGCCTAGCAAATCAGGAGCAGGGGCCTCTACGGGGTAGATCCCTTTTGATCTAGTTGCCGGGAGCAAAATGGTAGCCCCCCACCCCCACCGACCTAGCCCTCTGTCTGCCCTCAACTAGTCATGAGCAGGAGGCAGCCCCAAACACTTCTGACTTCAAGTGCTAGGAAGTAACAGCAGTGCCACCCACCCCCATCCCCTACTCCCCACCCCACA